ATGAGGGACCTCACTCGAGACATTGTATCCAGGTGTTTAATGACAGTAGTGTAGCAGGTTGAGTGGTAGAGCAGGACCTCACTAGATTATACATAGCAGGTTACTGAACTTCGCCTTTTAGGTCAGCAGTTATGTGTAAATGAATGTTAAACATATTTGTTCTGTTTTCCATGCTGATTTAATAAAGACATATCATCATTATTATTATTAGTAGTATTTTTATATGATGTGCACGCTCAAGGTCATGTGACGTCATTTAATGTCAAAAGTGACCGAGAAAGATTGAAACCAGCATTAGCATACTACTCACAATCTGGCCGTGACTATCAGGACATTTGAATAAAAGAAATACAAAATAGACAGATAATAAAGAAAAATATATATTTCATGTAACTCATATTGTACTGTAGTTTTTCCAGAAACCGTTTTCGTCCATAAACTGATAATATAGATGACCATTTGAGTAACAGATATACGGTAATAACAAATAAGACAAATCCATGTTGGGAAAATATTTAGTGAGTATCTCCATGAAATATTGTTGTTTCCTAGGTATTTTCTTTATTTTTCTTGAGATCAAATATGGTTCTTCCAAGTTCGGCAAAGGCTCAAATTTCGAGTCTATAGACAGAGGTGTTTTACTGGTTGATTTTTTCATGCTTTCATCATCGTCACACTTCGTTGGTGGGCATATACAATCTTTTTTCTTCTTAGGTACCTTGTGAGTTAGTTTTATTTTATTGTTCCTTTCGAATGTATCAAACTTTTTCCGTTGAGAACTTTGGCTGGAACACCTATTTGCAGTATAACTCAGTTTCTGCAATTTTTCGTCAAGTACTGAACTCATTCTCAATGACTCTTTAACATTCTGTTTCACAGCATGATTACTTATCATCAAATCATTTTTCGTATTTGATAGTTGTTTTACAAATCCACATTTTTTCTTATGTAAATACCGAGTTCCATATATGTCTAATTTTTTTTCTTCTTCTTCTTTTCTCTTCATTTTCTCCATTTCAATGTTTTTCTTTTCCAATACCATCAGATTTGATTTTTCGTGTGCCATCTTGCACAAGGTTTCCAAATATTTGTTCGCTTGTATTTTCTTGGATTCATCATCAAAAAGCTGATCTGCTTTCTTTTCAAAAACATTAATTGAACATATATGTCGATTATTTTTTCTCTTCAGATTCAATTTATTACATCGACTAGAACAGAACTTGATCCATTGACATCTTATACACGAAGTCAATTCTTTATTACGTCCCAGTAAACACTCAAAGCATACATTATACCTAGCTGGATCGTCTAGTCCTGGTTTCAAAAGATACGAATTCGTGGAGATGGGTATTTCTTGAAAATTAATATTCTCAATAGTTACTTTATAATTATCTACTTTACATTCATCTGCCAGGGTTGTATGGGTTTTGTTTTCCGGTGGTTTTTTCTTTTTCTTTTGTTTTATTTCTGTTTCATTTTTATTTATGTAATCTAATAATTTCAAACAAATTTCTTTATCCAATTGCTCAATGTTGAGCTTACCGTAGTTGAAAAGTAGTTTGAGATTTTCTATTGCCTTCTCAGGTGTAAGATATTCCGCTAGAACTTTAACACTCTCATATTCTAGCATATTAGTGTAAGCTAAATTATAAAGGTTCTCGGTAGCTTTCATTTTGATATTTTCAATTATCATTTCTCGTGTTAGTTCTTTCAAATGAGTATTCAACACTGTTTGGAAATCGTTTTTATTTTTCTGGGAAGACGTGGGTCGTTGTTTATCTTTTTTATTTTCGATGTCAATACTTTCAAAATCGACAAATCCAATTGCGTTTTCAAACTCACCAACATTTTGCAAAGGACTGACTCCAAATTCAACTAAAAATTTAATCATCTCAATACAATTTTCAACTGGTAATATTTCTTTGAATTGTTCAGAAAATAGGAGTGTTAATATGTTTCCCTTTTTTGGAGCCAAGAACTGATAAGGATCTGTCAAATTTGAGGACAAAAGATTCTCAACTAGCACCGAATTCCCGGATAATATTGCCAATGATAAGGCATTCAGTCCTAGATAAGTTGCATCAATATCGATGCCAGACTCAATTAGCGAATTGCTCACTCGTTTGAAGAAATTGCAATAATCTGTTTCGAAATCTTGTCGAAGGCAGAGTATGTGTAAGGGATTCTTGCCGTTATCGTCGGTATCATTACTACCATTACTACCTAGAATAAAAATATATCGTTCAACTCATATAAGAAATGTACGAGTACATACATGGGAAGGTCTGTCATCGTACAAGAAAGTTCAGCTCCACCCTGAGTAAGGGGTTAAAGATGGAAGCACTCTTATAAAATCTATATTTCTCAACCGATTTGGATGATTATTTTTTCATGTCTATTAAGACAGCAATTTTCATGAATTATTCGTCGTTTCAGGGCCAACTATTCTCATTTTTCAAGGGCAAAGTTAGAAGAGAATGAAATAAGTAAATATGCTGTTTAATCAACCCACCACTTCAATTTCAAAAGTTTCATCTAAGTTCTGACTACACCCTGGATTAAGGAGGTCTCGACATATCACAATTTCTACAAAATCTGTTCATCAATGAAAATATTATAAGGGAGTAATATTTGACAAAAAATGTCGTTCAGTGGAATTTTGACTACACCACTGGGTTTGGAATTATATTTAGCGAAATATAATTCAGATCCGTTTATTCATCAAAAATGTATGAAATGTACGAATCATATGAATGAATCAAACTTTAATGTCAATAATTTCAAATCAAAAAACTGCATTTATTACGAATTGCTATAACTAGTGGAAAACAATCTCTTATTCACAGGAAATGCACATAATAGGTTCGGTGATGATAAAAAGTTGAAACTAATATGAGTGAAATTCAAATTTTTATAGCCTCCATTAAACCTCCATTCTAGACAATGCCTTGCGTACATTTTGTATAATGAAAAAGAGGTTGGTTGGCGACGTTTCGAATTTAATTAAATTCTTCAGGACTTTGTAACAATGAATTTTCATAAAAATACCTTCCACAACACTTATACGATTATTATCGTTTCAATTTCACAAGCAATGATGAGTTCTCAATTAAATTACTTACCGAAAAGAAATTTTTTTGTGTTGATAATATTACTATATTAAAAACTATCAAGACATATTAGATACATATTTGAAAAATAAAAATAAAAAACATTGCAACAACAAAAATTCCGAGACAACACCAACACGACATGAAACAAACGAATGGCTTCATCTGTGATTCTGATAAGGTGGTGTCTGTTTTTTTAATCAATGGCAGAAAAAAAAAAGATGAAAAAATATGCTGTATTGAGGCCATCGACTTCTCTTCTGGTGTTAACACTATCGCATTTGGGGATATGTATCATTTCACTCAAAAGTCTTTTGGATAAATATGGTTGAACATCTAGAATAGTTGGAGGATCAAAATAAAAAAAATTGCATGTTCAACAAAAGCTGAGGGGTGTTGAATATTTAGTTTCTTAGAGTCTCTCATGTGTTCTACAACTCGTGTTTTACCAACATAGGATTTGTGACAGCTTCCACAGTTCAATTTGTACATAATATTGGATTGCATTTCTTGTGGTGTTTTTTGTTTCGACAAAAAATGCTTGCCAACTATATTTTCATTTGAAAAAGCCACTTTTATTTCTTTGGTACTTGAGTAGCATTCCAAGTTTAACAGATACATTTTCTACGAATGGAATTTTATGATATTTGGGTGTCACCCCTGTATTTTGGGAGGAGAAACTCCTTCCTTTTGTTTTTCTAATAAGGGCTCTAGGAAAATTAATTTTCACCAGGTACTTCTCAATTAATTGGAGATTTTTGTTATGGAATTCAGAATTTTTTTATAGTATTCCGTACTTATTGCAGAGCAATTGCAGTTCCGCACAGTTCCGCTCAATGTCTTGGTCGTAATTTGTAGACATTTTGTGTGACATGGACCCAAAGGAAAAAATCCAGTATACTAAGGTCAGGCGACCTAGGTGGCCACAGTTCCGGCCTTATGAATAGATAAGCCATCTAACTGAAAATATAAATTACTTGTTTCTACAAGGGAAGTTCATCTATTGCATCCGACAATTCATTCCTTATAAATTGAAATTTGCGGCATTGATGTTGCTGTCGAAAAAAAATGGTCCAATTATTGTCTCATTCAGTATTCCACACCAAACATTTATTTTTTCAGAATAGTGCCTCTTACAAATAGATACACAGTTAGGATTTTCAGTGGCCCAATATCGAATATTTTGTAATGGAACCACTCTATTCGTTGTGAAACTAGCTTCATCACTGGATAAAATATTCTTTAAAATTTTTCTGTCGTTATTAAAGTACTCGCCCTGGGCCCATTAGCAAAGTTTCAAACGTTTTTCTTGATCATCTGGTTCTAGATTGTGCAGTTTATGCTTGAAGAAGCTATTGTATAGCGAAACACGTGTCGCGATTTTTGTAAAACCCTTATAGTGAAAATCATACAATAAATTAGATAATTTTGATGAATACGATACTTCAATGTCATATTTTGCCCAGAATATACCCGCATTGTCCAGTTACTAGAAAAAGAAATAAATACACCTCCCGAAATTCGTCTTTGTTGTTGCGAAGTTCATCCAGTTTTTTCATTTCATTGTTAAACTGATTCGGATTTTCAATGTATGAACGTTAATATGTCAGTAATCGAATAAACGTATTTCTCTTCATTCTTATTACACTCGTATTCCTTTTTTTAGCAGATTTGTATCCCACTGGCTGCACATGAGTTCGAAATATTTTGATGCAGTTTACACCCAACAGTGTGACTGTTGGATGTAAACTGTTAGATGTAGATATCGAACAAATAATAACGCTTCTTGAGTTGATTTCATATACCTTATATTCTTTATTTTCACTATTAAATGTGTAAATGACATCAAACCAAAATAACTATAACCAATTTCACAACTAAACAACAAAACATCATAACATTCATTTATTTATCTCAATAATCTTATAAAGAACCCGCATTCATTATTCAGTATGCCCTCCTTCCCGTTAAATACAAATTATAGTCATTTTATTCACAGATTTTTGTGAGATTTTTAATAAATAGGGGATTTATGTTAGCACAACACTCCTGAATGGTATTCTCTGTATGTTCTTTTTTTGCAAATGACCTGTGCTCATACACTTTTTGTTTCAGATAAATCCATAAAAAAAGTCCATCGGAGATGAGTCCGGTGATCTTGATGGTCAATAATCTTCCCAATCTTGTCCTATCACTTTTCCCCTGAACATCTGACTGAAACACTGTTTCACTTCTACCGTTTGGTGCCCCGTCAAGCTAATACCACAAATTTCGTTTAACACTCAGAGGCAGATTATGCAAAACTTCAGACAGTTGATTCATAATGAAATTTCTGTACGTCTGCGTTCAAAAAATATGGTCTAATTGTAATAATCCACACCACACATTTGTCTCGAACGAATATTGGTCACGACATTCTATTACATTTGGATCATTGTTGGACCACCAGCGACAATTTAATTTTGGGAACTCACTGTTCCGTCCGACGTGAAAGTTACCTTAAAATCCTGTAGGAAATGCGATATCATTTTTCCTCTCACCTTGGAACCTAAATGAAAATCCTACTCGAATACATTCGATCATCTATAAAGGTGGTGTGTATTTGTTGTGCTCCCAGTTTACTGTGTTTTTCAATGGTAAAAAACTAGTTTAAAGTGGTAAATTTGGTATCAAAAGTTGCGGAATCTTCATATCTCGAAAACTTTGTATATTTTTTGAACATTGATTACAATTGAAAGGAATAACACTCACTTTAAGTAATTGTAAACTTTTTTAAACAAATTCACTAAAGACAATCTAGGAAATAAAAACCTGTTGTGATAAGACACAAACACCAAATTAAAATGGAGTTCCAGTGGCGTACCTGTTTTAATTAACATTAGCGGAGATTGAATGGGTGATGGAGTTCAAAAAATTTAAATGTTGTAAAAACTTGGAGTTCAAAAGCTACCGTTGCGTAATTTGCCATGGACTTTATCATAACAGCTGTGTCGAGAAGAGAAAAAATGTATCTTATTTAACTGGATACGATATTTACTGTTCTAAAGGATGTCAAGACGCAGATATAAAAAAATGTGACGATTATGATAAACTACTTATTAAAATAAAAGAACTTAAAGATGAACTAATGGAAAAGGATATTTTATATGAAAAATTAGAAAAGAACTCTAAAGAGGAAAAGGAGGAACTTTATACACAGATCGAAAATATTTCAAAAGAAATTATAGAAAAAGACAGATACATACAACGCTTGAAAAGAAATACCAAGAGCTTTGAAGATGAAGTATTTGAGCAAGAGAAAAGCCTTACAATGTTATTAAAAGGTAAAAGTGAAACAATTAAAGATTTAAATAACGAGATTACTCAAATACAATGTCTAAAGGATAAACTTCATACAGCATTACAAGAAAAAGAGGCACAATTAGAAAAAGTGAATGCCNAGGTTTCTTGTGGGCTTCTTCAATGGCCAGAGTTTCAAACCACTCCATATATATGTTGGCTATGACTGGTGAAAGTGGCGATCCCATTGGCAGTCCCTCATCTTGTGTAAAGAATTCGTCCTTCAGTTGGAAATAACAGTTTCGTACACAGCATCCTAGTAATTCCATGATTACTTCTATAGGTAGATTCGTTCTCTCTTTCAGGTTCCCGTCTTCGGATAGCTTTCTGATTTGGAGTGCTTTTTCGACCGGAATGTTGATGTAAAGGCTTTCCACGTCGAAACTAATTAGTTGATCTTCCTGTGTGACCTCAATTGACCCTAGTAGTTCGACAAAATGCCTTGAATTCTTTACAAAAGACGATGTTTTTCCTTGTGAAGGTTGTATCAAGGGAAGTAAAAATCTAGACAAGTTTCAAGTATCTGAATCTCTGGAGCTGATGATCGCTTTTCTAATTCTGATGACTCTTCAATATTTTTTTTCGAATGGCGTAAGAATTGTCATCGGCAAATAACATTGTAATCATTGTCATTGAATTTGGTAGGTCAATATCTACTTAAAAAGTTTTAAATTAATTAACAGAGATACTTTAAAGGAAATTATTTTTGAAATGGCAAATAAAGGAAGTCCTGATGATATAA